GTATGATGACGTCACAGGGCGGGGCAGTTGCTGGAGGGAGGGGCCAGCGGAGCGCATGTGTTGGCCCTGGGTGATTCAAGGCCGGGGAGCTTCTAAGACGAGTGGGCGGCACGCAGGAGTGGAGCCTGAGCTTGTGCTGCAAGCATGCGTGCACATGCAAACACACACCTGCAGAGCGTTTCTCCGCACCACCACAGACCATTTGCACGCTCCGCTTGCACCCACGCAGCCCGTGCGGACCGTGTACACACACGGGCACACAACTACCGACGCGCCCCCCACAACCCAAACACACCTGGTCAACCACCGCTTTGACCTTGTACTCGATGAAGCAGCGCGCGTCCGCGCCGCTCTCGTATGCCGCCGACCCCGGCAGCTCCTGAGGCAGCGCCACGGCAAAGGGGAACTCGTAGCTCCCCAAGCCCAGGGTGCCCGAGCCAGCCGGCACCAGCGGCAGGCGGACCTGCGTTTTAGGACGACATTGGAGTGGGTTGACCAACCAGGCTGGTTTGAGAGCGAATGTGTTGGTGAGGCAGCCGGGCTGCGTGGAGGGGCCTTGTGAGGGCAGCTTGCACACAATGAAGGTGGTTGGCTGTGAAGGCGGCGGGCGTGACGCCAGCGTATGTCCAAGCCCAACGATTCAAAACGCCCGCGGGGCGTTGACCATCGCAGGGCGTCGCGGCGGCCGCTGCGCGCCGGCGTCACCTTGATCACGTCACCGGTGTAGCTGTGCACGCGGTAGTCGTCCCGATCAGTCATCATCGTGTTGGTGCTGAACCCGTCCATGTTCTGCGGGCAATCACTTGGCGGCTCAAAGGGACATCTGGCATGCTCGAGCGCATGCCACAGCAGCGGCTTGCAGGCTCAAGGCGGCAGGCAGGCAAGCTTGCGACACGGCGCATCTAGGTCGGACTGCTCCTCACCCCAGCGCCGCCGACCCACTCCTGCCACCAGTTTGTCTCAGTCCCCACGAACTGGGAAAGGGGAGGGCGGCCGACGACGGTCGCATTGCACAAACAATGCCACCCAAAGAGACGGAACCAACGGCATGCAGCTCATTCCAGCAGCCTGGCGGGTGCCGCCCGCCAGCGGCGCCGACTCCCACACCAGGCCCGCCCTTCACGGTTGGATTGCCGCTTATCCTGCTTACGTTTCTGCCTGTGCGCTGCAGTCATGTCAGGTCAGGGCGCACCTCTACGTACACAGCTTCATAGTTGACTGGGCGCGTCGCATTGTGGAAATAAGCAGTGCCACGCAGCACGTCGCCCGCCCACAGGCTGCTGCGCTCGAGCACCACCTGCATGCTGGTCTTTGACCCGCCGTCAAGTGTCTGGGCAGGGGGGGGTGCACCACAGGCAGTGCCCTACTGTTGCGCCCGCAGATTCTGAAGTGCCGCCTTCGCGCTGGGGGCTTGCACAAAGCCGAGCTTGGCACTACTGAGAGATTATCTTGAAATACCAGGCTATTAGAAACTGCGATACGTGGTGGCGCCGTTGTCGTGTCTGGCGTTGAAAAGCCACGGTCACCCCGCGCGTACTCAGAGATCAGACACACGCGTTCACAAGGCGAGGCACATTGGGGGGACACGAGTCGGACAAATTGTTGCGGTGCCAATGGGCCAGAGCGAAGGTGGAAGTTTGTCTCGTTGATTGTCACTCGTGTGCACACCGGAGCATGCCGTCTGGACACACACGAGTGCAGCAGCGCTGTGTTGTGTGGGCCTCCCTGCCGCCATCGAGGTGGGTCCCTGAACAGGAATCGCGATCACATTTGCAAGGCCCTGCCGAGGAAGGAGGGTCGCGCAAAGCCATGCCTGCGGCTTGAGTCATCCTGCTCACCCTGACTCGTGGCATGCCCACCCCTCCCTCAATGTCGCCAGGCCCAGAGGACTGGAGGTTGCACATAGAGTCGCCGAATGCGCAAGCATTAACTCAACAATCCATCAGCAGGATGCGCCCAGTGCGCAAGCGTTGCTGCTGGCCGCCGCGCAGATGTCAGCTCGTGATGCTGGCAGGGGCTGGCTGACCGAGCACCCGCGCGCCGCCGTGGGCTACACGCGAGTGCATGTATTGCACGCGCTGGCAGTCGCGACTGATCAGCAGTGTGTGCCTCCTGCCATGTTGACTTCAGCTTGCCGGCGGGGGTGGAGTGGTCTTGCAAATGCGAGTGCAGGGAACCACGCGGTTGAGCAGGAGAGGGGAGTTGTGTCATTGGGGGCTGGAGGAAGTGCGCAGGGGACTTGCACGCGTCTCCAAGCGAGGGCACGGCGGCGTAGGGACCGAGCTGCCTTTTGCCGACCCCTTCCCACCCCACCTGCTGCCCCTTGGGCTGCTGCTCGCCGTCCAGCTCGGCCCGCAGCGTCCTCAAGCAATGCAGCCATACCGGGGACGGGGCCGTAACGAGCACCTGCCCACCGCTCGCAAATGCCAGGGGCTCGATGTCGACCGCCCAGTCTGAGCGTGGGCGCAGGCTGAGGATGCTGGCCTGGACCAGGGCTGCAAGCGCCTGCGCCCCTGACACCCAGCTATCTGTTGACCGCGGCATGCCCTCAGCCCTCAGGGCGCGCCCCTGCTGGCCCGCATGGCTCTCCAGGAGCTGCAGCATCTCGTCTTCCGGCACGGCGTTGTGCTCGCTCTGCAGCAGGGCCGCGGCGGCTGCGGCAAACTGGGCGGCGGACCAGCGGCCCGGGGAGCCCCTGGCTGCGCGGTGGATGTCGATGAACGCGGTCGTGCAGACGTCCTGGAGAGCTGGAGGATTTGTTGTGTGCAGCGGGCAAGGCCACGTGAGGATGGAGCGTCCAGCATGGGTGATGTTGTGCTGTTGTGATGTTGGTTGATTCGTGATAGACTTTCTTCCACATTGGAAGAATCTGGGAGATTGCTACCGATGCACAATATCTTTTGAATGACTCAACATAACCAACACAACAAGATGCAGCCAGAATTCACAGCTGATGGTCGCCATGAAGTCAAACGCCTATGAAGTCAAACCCCTTTTCACGCCAAGCATGCCCACACTGTCGAGCGGAGGTGTTCACCTGTTTTCCAGCTAGCCCCTGGAGCGAGGGAGGCGTCAGATGCCAGGACAAGCGCGCCGGCATTCCCCCCGCATACCTGCAATTGGTACAGGTACGAGTCAAGAAGTCATACATACTGACTTTTTGCAAACGCAGTGTGAACCCGGCAGTAATCCACACCTGTCCCCATGCCCATCGCTATCAGAGCATGTAACGTCTATCTGCACTCAGGCATGCACGCATGCAAGCAACAGTCGGGCCAGATGACAAAGTGCAAGTGCGAGCATGCGTGCATGCACATGCAAACGCACGCACACACACACATACACACACACGCACACGCGCGTGTGCTGCATGCAGGGATGCCCCTACCTCCCGCACAGCGCCCCAGTCCTCGTCGGCGACGCTCCTTCCCATCAACTGCTCCAGAAAATCCCTTGCTGAGGTGCAGTGGTTTGCAGTCAAAGGCCCCGCGCAAGTAGGTAGCGGGCGTGAACGGCTGGCAATCGAAACCAACAGCGACATGCTATCCACCCTAAGGACAAGCCGTGATGTCAAATCTGTCCCCCTCATTTGCAATTATCAAGCCATAGCAGCCCCCGCCCACCGTCCGATGCAGGGAAGTCTCCAACCACAACGGGCTGCCAGAACTGGTGGCCAACCACTGGATTGAGTAAGAAAAGGTAATGGGACCTTGAGGGGGCGTGCCAAACTGCAATCCCGCCACAAGGACAGGCCGCCACATCAGCTTTATGCATAATCAAATGGCACTTATGATTAAAAGTGCACTATGATTAAAGTGCACTGCAGCAGCCGCGCACAGCACTGCAACCATGGGCTGGATGGCTACACTTACCCTTATTCATCCAGGCCAAGAAGCTTGTGTCAGACGTGGCCAGCAAAACCTAATGAAGCACGCAGAGGAGGAGGCACGTCGCTGGTGCAATTTGGCCCATCGAACTTCATCGTTGTGTAGAGATGAGGAGTCTGCAAACCTGCACTGCTGCAAATCGACGAATGGCAGCGAGCCAGCCAAACCCGTCCCACACTCTAAACGGGCCAGCCCTGCCCCTGACACCCCTTGCCCTCACATGGCAGCGGCGCCTGGCCTTGGAGATGGACAAGAGAAAGTTGGCCAGCCTCTTGAGGTCCCTCGGGTACTCCTCAGACCACTCCATGAGCTCGCTGGCCTCATCGATGATAAGCACCGGCACCTGCACCTGCGTCACAACCAGCCCGCCGCCCAACCGGCCGCTGTCGCCCCGCCACCCGCGCGCCGCCGCCGCCCGCGACGCCGGCGGCATCCTCTCCCAGGCGGCCAGCAGCTCGACGTACGCCTCCAGCACCGCTGCCAGGCTCCAGGGCCCCGACAAGGCGGCTGCAGCGACGGCTTCCTGCATAGATGTGATGCTGCCGCCTGGCGTCCTGGCTGTGGCTGGGCCAACGGCCTGTTCCAGAATTCGGAGGGGCAGCAGAGCGACGACGGCAGCCAAGAGCGGGGCGGTCTTGCCTAGCTCCTCAAGTACGCTGCGCGGCAGCTGCTCCAAGATGCTGGGCAAGCCCGCTTTGGCAAGCACCGCGGCAAACGCGGCCGGGCTGGACACATCCTTTTCTCGGCAGTCGATGAAACACACGCTGTCGCCCAGCTGGAGTTCGTCGGCAATGCGGCGGAGCAAGACCGTCTTGCCGCTGTTGGGCGGGCCGGTCACGACAAGGATGCGGCTGGGGGGGCTGCTGAACGTGCTCAGCAGCTGGTTGCGCTCGTGTGGACGGTCAAAAGCGACACGTCCAGTGCTGGCGACGGCCTCCCTGCTGCCCTCGCCGCCGCTGCCGTCGCCGCTGCCGCCGCCGGCCGTGCTCGCACGCACCAGGGGCGCAGCCCGCCGGCGCGGTGCGCTGCTGACAACCGAGGCGGCGCCGGCGACCCACCCGCTTTGCCAGCAGCGACCACCGCACCGAATTGCCGCTGACCGCAGGATGCCACTGGACTGGCAACCCGGCTGCATTGCCGTGTCGACTGAGGGAGGAGCAGCGACGCTGCTTCTTTCAAAGGCTGTTCTTGAGCTCCTGGCAGGGCGGGATGGTGCGCAATACAAATCCAGGCGTTGAATGAACAGCCCTCCCACCTACCACTTCAGCGTCATGTTGCAGTATTCAGGGCAGAAACCTCCAAGATGCCACAACATCCACAGCCGTGCTGTAGCTCAACGCAACCCGCTAGCGCTTGCGCTAGGGCCCATGACCATACCATCATGGCACCTTGCCGCAGCGACGCCCTTGACCGTGTAAAACTCACTAAATACTCAGCATCTAGATCAAGAGCCCCTCAGCTGCAAACGCTAAAGCAAATGCCAGTGCGGCGATGGGCACTGATCTCCACATCCAGCAAGATGACTGGGTGTTGGAATGTTCGGTACACCAATACAAATCAATATTGTCGCGCAAAGTCTGCGCTGCAAGGGCGTTGACATCCGGTCGTTTAGTGAATATTACGGTAGCTGACGTACACATATGAGCCACCTCATACGCCACCCTCAAACCTCATTCTGATAAGTGATTGTTGTCCTCCACACCTATCACGCAGGACGGTGCTGCCGCTCCCATCTTGTGCCCTGGCGGCAGGGGCCGCCCCGGCAGTGGTTGCAACGCATGGGTGGCCCACAGCACGAGCAGCCAACGCGCAACCTCTTTTGCACCCAGATGCGACCCTGTGTTCCCCGCCGGAGCGGTTGGCCAAGACTCCAATGCGTGGGCCGCACTGCGGCAAGGCAGGTGGGTTCGTCAATGCGCCAATGCATCACGTGGCACACTGCGTCCACCTACCCACAGCTGCCCCAACGCTCCAAGGGCAGCCGTGTGATCGCAACGGCGCACTGTACTGGCCACATGGGCACGCTGGTTCGCCTTGCGGCTGAGGTGCCAGATTTGGCGCCACTTGGCGAGGCTGCGGCACCGCGACGACATTTGATCAACTGCTCTGATAAATTGTAGGCCGCCTGTCAGTGCTTCTGGTCATCCCAGCCAGGGTAGCACACAATCAAACTTGTCTCGGGCAATAGCGAAAGACTCGGTGCCCTACTGTTCTTCGCGCCCAGGCTGGCACGCTTAGAGAACATGATGCCAAACGCGGGCATGAAAACGCACACGTGTGCATGCGAACGCGCGTGTGCGCACTGGCCGCTCTGCCCCCCCCCCACACTCCCCCCCCCACACACACACACGCGCACGCAACGTCTGTCGTTCTGCTCAACGAGCAAGCGCCTTTTCGTTGGGGTCGTGGCCTACTTTCCCCTCACATTCCTGTACAACCCAGGAGGTCTGAAAGCACCGCCACAGAGCAAAAGGAGGTGTCTTACACCTTATTGTCAGTTCAGATTCTGCATGTGATTCTCACAGATGCGGGCAGTCAATCCAGCCTTGGTCGCATCACATGAGATGGCGTGCTTATAGGAGGAGCAGGGCGGCGCAAAAGACCGGCTGGCGGCCGCGAGGGTCGCGGGTGTAAATGCTAGGGGACCAGGCGGGGACGCACGTGGCCGCCTTCTGGGTATCATGCGACCGACAACCGAGAGAAGTGCACGATGCCGATGCAAGCCAGGCGGGTGCGGCGGCAAAGTGGGACAGAGTGAAAGGTCGAAAACAGCCGGTTCACAACGAAACCGACAGGCTCAGGGGCAAGCAGCTCCATGCGGCACACTAGCAAGCGTGCCGCATGGGAGGGGCACGCAGTTGCATGGGGCTGCGAAGAGCATGCTGGGGGCGTCATGCCGGCGCTCAAGCGCGGAGGTTCCTGCAGCCCCTTAAGCAAAAGGGCCATTGCGACGGTCGTACGAACCCATGTGCCACCTCTTCTGCACCCATGCGTTGCATGGTGAGGCGCAAAACGAGGCCGAGGGGCTGACCGATGCAAAAAGAGCGTGTTGCATCGTGTGTTTGAGCATTGCACGCGCTCGAGCAGCCTGAGGCGCATGAGCAAGGCAAACGTGCATTCGAGACGGATGAGGGGGCCCACAGCGCTCACGTGCGCGGTTCCGGCAAAGCAGGAGTGGGCATTTCAATGCAAAGCCGAAGGCCCCGCCGGGACACAGAAGTCTACACACTCCCACACCCCCATCATCCAAGCCTGCGCAGCATGCCCTATGCCTGGCCGTATGCAGCAGCGGCCGGCGGTTGGGGGCGAACGAGGCGCGTTGACTGTTCACGGAGCCCCACCAGGCCGGCCCGCTGCCGCCGCCGGCTCGAGCGGCGCCCCGGGCCCGCCTGCGGCGGCGGCCGCGGCCGGGGATGCCGCTGCAGACTTTGCCGCGACCGCCTCCGTTTCATTACTAAAGGATCGGCTGCGCCGCATTGAGGGCGATTCGGCCCACTGAGGCTGCTCAGCAGAGCCGTGCATCTGCAAGTCGCCCCAGCTGGTGCTGCGTGGCGGGCCGCTGCTTGGCGCGCTACGCTGCAACGGTGGACTCTGCTGCTGCTGTTGCTGCTGCTGCTGCTGCTGTTGCTGCTGCGGGACAGAATGGTGGGGCTGAGGCTGCTGCTGTTGCGGCTGCTGCTGCGCCTGCAGCTGCTGCTGCTGGCTGGGGTGCTGGTTGGAGGGCTGCCGCTGCAAGAGGCCCATCTGCTGCGCGTAATGCTGCTGCTGCTGCTGTGCCGCGTAGAAGGCTTGCTGGGCTGCGTGATAGGCCTGCTGCGCCGCCACCGCCGGCGGCGGCGCGGCGCCGCCGTACGCGCCTGCGGCGGGG